TGAAGTGGCCGGAACGGATAGCAAAAGTGACACTACTTTGAACAGATTTGGGAAATCAGGTTGTTCCGTAAATATGGCTTGCCATTTTTCTGTGCTATATTATTGTTGTAAAAATACTCTGAATTTCGAATAATCGCTTACAAAATTACGATGTTTACTTAAGGCCTTAAATAAAGAATTTTTGCATACTTTATGTGTCTTGTAAAGTATAACGTACGCACAGTCGAAATAGAGTACAATCTTTATAATAAAGTAGGGGTGGCAACCCTAGTTGCCTTCCTCTTTTTATTTTATTTTTTTTAATTTGATTCTAAAGTATTGTAAAATAATTTCATATAAATTAAATTAAACAAACAAAATACATATTAAAAGCGATATGCACAATTAAAACCTTACTGTTTGTCGGAAGTATTTATAATTTTATTTATTGTTACCCATATCTTCATTTGAATACATCCAAATACAGCAATTTTCCGATCTATTTTCTAAGTCAGTATTTATGATTAATTAATATTAGCAGCATTGCTAAAATGTAAAACAGAATTGTACTTAATCACTTGCATTTTGCGTTTGAATATAAATAATAAATTAATTCAGTATTTTTTTTAATAATGGGCAAATATTGATTGATTTTCAGTTTATAAAGTAACCACTTTGATCACCTTATTTTCCTAACACTTTTACGATAATTAAATGAAAGAAAATATTAAATAACTGACATATAAGTATATGTATATAAATATAGACAAAATATAATTCAAAAGTCTACTTACAACAATAAAAATTAATCATTTACATTTTAATACTTACATCACTTAATTTATTTCACATTTAATCCACAATTAAACACACACAACCGCCCGTACACGTTCGCTACGAAAATTACACTAAACCATCTAAAAGAAGATGAATCGGTGGTTGTTATTGCAAACACTATCGTTCGTTGCTGTATAAAAAACCGAGATATTTACGATAAAAAAAGTCTTTCACTTCACCTCTAACGGGCCGTCCAAAACATTTGTCTTTAGATTATTTCAGGAATTCCGTAGGTACAGGCTGTCACAAAAGAGCACGAAACAGACAAAATGCTCGTTACACAAAATGTAACAAAATTAAACTTTATTAAACGTAGTATACACCCAAGTATGTAAATACAATAAATATTTATACAAATGGTGAACTTTTTGTTGAATGTATACGCATTGGTTTAGATGGAATTGGGAAAGGCGGTAATGGTGTTGTACTTCTGTTGTGTTCATGTTTTTTAGTTCTTAGCTCTTCCAAAGATACTTTCATTTGTCTATCACTAAAATTAGATAAATACTAAGATGATAAACGGTTAAACAGAGTTACCTTCGTCTCATATGAAGACAATATGCGAATACTGAAACACCGCAAACAAATCCGACTAGAAGTAGAAATACTGCTGAAAACAGGGGGCCCTTTATAATTAGAGACTGGTTTCTAGCAAGAATGGCTGAAAAGTATACAAATAAATACAAAAAAATACGTATCTATATATGCACAATTTATACCTTCATTGTCAGAAACTTTTACAGTTTTATTTATTATTTCTTCAGTTGAAAAAACTTGAATACAACCATAGTTCGAACCATTCCATTCATGAAACCTAAAGTTAAGATTTACAAAAGAATCAAAAATATATCGAAAAAAAAGACTACGATACGTGATTTTGTAAGGGGTTGTCTTTTTTACCATAGTTATGAAACCCTAAAATTACCGCACATGCTATCGTTAGGTATATGTGTACAATATAATGTGTTGGAATATTTTTTAAAGTTAATTAAAGTAGGTGGTTGTGATTGATTTCTATACAGTTTTACCGTTTATGCAATACATAGGGAGCGTCTTGTTTTCCCAACACTTTCACCGTAATGGAATTAAGAAAATTAATTACGTAGGTAATTAAATTATCTATTCTATTTGCATAAGGTTAGAACACCCTTTTGTAGGATAAAAATTAATTAATTACTGAATAGGCATACATGTACTTATGTAGAGATGTGTAAAATGGTCTTTTAAAAGTATTTAAATACAAAATAGATTTCCCTTTTGTATTTTAAATGCTAAATGTCAACAAAACAAATAATTCTTCTATATGCTTCCGTATTTCCCTTTGTCACATGTTTTACTGGAAAAAAGACACTGATGCCAAAATAGTTTGCTTAGCGTGAAAGATCAGAGCCAAAATAGGGTTGCAAATAATTTTATTGATGTAAAATCAACATCGATCATTTTATATCAAAATATTTACAACCCCATTTTGATTCTAATTTTTTACATATTGTAATAAGAGAAAGAAGTGGAATCCATAGTTTTTTTAGCTTTGGGTTCATCTAATAAGTTTTTCGAATCGTTTTCTAAGAATTTTGGATTATATGCATCTATTAGCACACCACAATGTCTTTTGTTTTCAGTTTTACACAGCTGGCGTATATCAATTCGATATTGTTGTGGGGGCTGTTTTGTCGTAATTCATAGAATTTCGTAGTTCCTTGTTAAAGGTACGATAAGTGGTGATTTAGCAGGTGCTGATATCAATTTGGAACTTCAAAATTCCATGGACCATGACATTGAACCCGGAAAACAATATCGATCCAATATTTTAGATTATCCCTTTCCAAGGAGTTTAGATTTTTTTGAGCTATCTTTAATTAAATAATTAAAAGGCATTCATGGAATGTCTGTTCGTCACTCATCATTTTATATAATTTTTTGATCGGTGATACTAGCAAAATTTTTTAAGGCAAAATACTATTGGAAACGTATTTTAAAAAAAATACAAAATGCTTTTCTCAAAAAAGAATTTAAATGCAAGATAAAAATAGGTAT